TTTTATCATCCAAGTTTACAGTACGTGACCCATTTAGTTTCGACGTTGTTTAACCGCGGTGATCCTACGGGAACCAGTGTTTCAACGTGACATGGCCGTAAGCTCATAACATTATTATGAATTGTAACAAAAAAAACTGATGTTCGTGACCTGGAATGACTTATCTATAAATAAATCGGAAAATAAATTGGAAAAAATTATTATTTGTGGGCCCAATGCCTTATTATACCACAAGATTCTTTTTGGTTTTACATCATAAACAAAATCCCAAATTCAGAAATTAAAAATGATCGTGATAATGTTAAAAAAAGACCATTTTAGAAGTTCGTGTTATTATTATTTTTTCTTCCTACACCAACCCAGTATGAGGAAGAGACTCGAAGCGACAGAGATGTGGTTCTACAGAAGGATGCTAAGGATATCATGGACCGAGCATGTTAGAAATGATGAGGTCTTAGATAGGTTACAAACAAGGAGAAGGCTTATACTTAACATCAGAAAGAGGCAGCTGAAGTTTTTTGAACACATAATGAGGAAGGAGGGTCTGGAGAATCTGATACTCACGGGTCAAATAGAGGGAAAAATAGACAAGGGAAATCAGCGCGTGACATACCTGGCAAGCTTGAGCAGGTGGATGACAGAACGTGGTTTGGGGGAGGAGCAGAAGGAAGGAGCTTGCTGAGAGCTGCAAGGGATAGAGGGAGGTGGAGAGCCATGATTGTCTACGTCCTGAAAGGAGATGGCACATATAAAGAAAGAAGGAGTGTGTCATTGTTTGCGTTTAATTGGAAAAACAAATACGGTCAACTTGACAACCATTTTTTTGACCAGACACACGGTCCTGACGGTAGACAAGAGCATTTTTTAATCATTTTACCCCAAGCAAGGCAATAAAACCACTAAGACGCAAGAGAATATGAATATGAAGAAAAAACACTAAGTAGAGAGAACAACAAAAGAACAAGAATTAAGAAGAGTGTAGATAACGATTGACACTGCATTTAAATTTTTTTAACTTGAGTTCCACAAGCGAGAAGTGCGATAGAAATAAACGCGTTAGCATGGAACTTACGGTTACATCTAGCCACTTTAAAATGATGAGACGTTGCTGTCAAACTAGTACTGTATTTAAATTCAATAAATCTTGATAACCATAGAGGAAAGTTCATCAGAACAATTACCATTAAAGTATTTATAGAAAAGGCACAGGGAAGCCACATTACAGCGATAGGAAAGTGACTGAAGGCGATGTGCCAGGTTAGGACCAATAACATTGCAGATTCTTCGTGTGTGTGTGTGTAACGAATGTACGGCCGCAATTTTCGACGGATTTGCACCAAAATTTACATGCACATGCTCCAAGTTAGTGTGAAGGCCAAGACCGACCTTGCATTTCTCAGCTTCCATCGATAGTGGAAATAATCGATTTTTTCATGCTTCTACGGCACTTTTCATGTAGTTTGCAGCCATTTTCTACTGGCCAGAGTGAGAGCCTATAGCTGACTGCCACGAATAGGCAGGAAGATTCTATTGGCTAGCGTGAGAGCCAACAGCTGACTGACACGAATGTTAACTAGCATGCTAGCATGCCAAAAAAATCGATAGCTGCATTCGTCACAAGTGGGAAAAATTTAAATCTGCATGGAACTTTACTCCAATTGGCTCATTCGCTTGCTTAAACTCAACGTTGATTCTGATTTCGCAGAACTGGGTTGGGTGTGAAAAAGTATTTTTGTTAACATTCTTTTTCATTCGGTTTTTCTAGTTACGAGTCCTTTTTAAAGCTGATCGTTTTGTGTCCATTTTGTTTAGTTCTTTTTTTTTCGTAACAGATTTAATGTTTAGTATAGAGCTTAGAAAAATTCGCAGTGTGAGATAGGCAAGAAGTAAGGCATGTAGCAACATCAGCACGGCAAAGAGCACTCCTTTAAAGGCAAGGAAGGGCAAAAATATTTTAAATCAAGTGATAGCGATTGTTGTATAAGTCGTACGATTTTGAATCAAGCACGGGCGTCGCCGGGCCATGCTGCTAGTATATATATATAAATACTGCAGGAGCGCCAGACCAGATGTGACAGCAGTATTCAAAGCAAAGACGAATGGTTCACAAAAATATGTAAGATCGATTCTGGTGCGAAATATTATCTAGCACGACACAGGCAACCAACTTTCTTAGCAGTGGACTTGGCAATTCATTCAATATAATCTTTCCACTTCATATTGGAAAACATTACTCTGAGAAGTCGCAATGAATCACACTACTGAAAGCTAGCATTAGCCATGCTGATGGAAGGGAAAAGGATTCTTTCAGACGATTAAAAAAGACCAGTTTCGTTTTGGAAGCATTAAAATTAACACGCCATTCCTTGCACCAGTTAACAAGAGAAAGTAAGTCATTTTTCAAAATTTCGTCCAGAAATACCATAACCTTTCAACCTGTGATAAAGACCGACATGATAAACCTGTTAAAGCTGCCTTCAAGACATTCAAAGCAACTCATATGCATGCGTGTGTGCATGCGCACAAAAAATGATTAAAAATTATATTATTCTTCTCAGTGACTGATAAATTGCCGCCATTTTATATTTTTAATTCTGCGCATGCGCGTTGTTTGTTTTTGATTTTTCTCTACTGCACAGTAGAGTCAGTTGGGCATCGTCTGTGAGAAAAAAACAGCACCATGACGCAATTCACTCTGCAAGAGATTCGGAAACGGTATGCTGTACTGCTTGACATTCGCGCCGGAAGCTGCAAGACGAACATTTCGGTGTGTTTTGGTGTCAATCTCAGGACAGTGCAGAGGATTCGGAAAGAGTTGGATGAGTTTAATGGTGATTACAAAGGTATTTGGAGTAATCACTACGTTATGCCTCCACGTTATGCGACCTTATGCCTTCATTCATCTTCTCCCAGGCCCTCAGACTCAACTCAGAGGCCTACATCAAGTGCCTTAAAGAGGTAGTGCTGCCCTGGGCCAAGAAGATGACTGCTGGAAGACCCTATATCTGGCAAACGGACTCTGCACCATGCCACACAAGCACGAAAACCCAGTCATGACTGTCAGATAATTTATGGGACCACATCACCCGCTACATCTGGCTACCTAAACCCCAACCTTTTTGATTATTATGTGGGGGCTCAGTTGAGCGAGTGACCAACAAAACTCCTTGTGGCAACAAAGATGAACTGAAGGCAAGGATTATGGTTTTATTCACCAACTTAAACAAGGAGAGCGTCCAGAACAATTGCAGGAGAATCCGAAGTAGTCTGCAGGCTGTGATTGAAGCCAATGGCAATTTTATTGAATAAATTTACTATTTAGTATTTCAAGATATTTTTGTGTAATTTTGGTAAATATGTCTGTTAAAATGAGATGTCGTTGTTATTTTCATTTTTGCGTAATTTGGACGACAATTTATCCATCGCAACCTGAAAATTTCCTCTTTTACTACTGACAGCCGTAGTGACCATACGTTTATTGGGTCCGTCTTTTCCGGCGTTAATAGATTACAGAAGCCGCGAATCCCACTTGTTCCTTTAGAACTCTTCTAACAGTTAAGTCCGCAAATATAAATTATATTTGCAAGCTTTCTTTTTACCTATTGTGCACACACCATTTTCTGTGCATTAAAACCGTTGAATTTAATAATGTCGTTGAGTTGCTTCTCTTCTTCAAGTCTGTCCACCCGTGTCATTAACTCAGTGGAACTTAATTGTAACCGGAAAATCTTTATAACTTTAGCTGCTTCCAGTCTTTTCTTCATCTGTGATGAGTTTATCCAGCATTCACTACCATATAGGAAGACCGAAATTCAGGGCTGGATTATGACCTTTTGGGCCCCTAGGCTAATTAAATTATACCCCATACTCAGATAGAGCCGCCCTCTAATTTGCCCGTACCCGGTATGAATATTTTTTTTACTCGTGATATATTTTAGCGACATTCACATAACCTGAAGTAAACTTATTGCAAACTCTTTAAATAAACTAGAAGAGTTATCTTTTCCTTGTCAATAAAAATATTCTTAATAAATACAACTATTTTACTAATTATTGCAAACCAAATTATCATATACTCCAACACAACTGTATTAAGAAAAACAGATTTTTTATAACTAGCATTATAAAACTAAAATAATCAAAATAAATATTAGCTTGTCATATTTTTATTATTTATCATTTATGTTATCATTTATCATTTATCATTATTATTAAATAGTTACATAACAGTTCATGAAGAAAAATATACGGAAAAAACAAACAAAAATCCTTATATACAATTATGCTGTTTTAATGTTTTAATATGTCAACGTCGGACGTTTCGGTCTATTAAACCATCTTCAGGACATACTCATAAAATATAGTTAACATTATCAATTCAACATTGAATTGATAATGTTAATTATATTTTTTTATGAATATGTCCTGAAGATGGTTTATTAGACCGAAACGTCCGACGTTGACATATTAAAAACATTAAAACAGCATAATTGTATATAATGATTTTGTTTGTTTTTTCCGTATATTTTTCTTCTTCATACTGTCGGATCTATATCCATATATTTGCTTACATAACAGTTCCTGAAACTATTTAGAAGATATAACATGTAGAAAATTTAAATCATTGCTTTATAAAAACTTGAGGGGCCTTAGACAGCAACTTATACTAGCCTGAAGGATAAGCCGGCCCTGTCGATATTACATAACATTTCAATAGACCTTTCTTTGTTTTTAAAGAAATTTTACTGTTTCTTCATAGTTAGCTAAACTTTTCGGCGAAATGATTAAAAAAGAATTGTACTTGTTTTCCGGATTGATTTGATTTGAGTGATTAGTGTTTTACGGTTTATCGACCTTTGCAGGTTATTTAAAGTCAGAAATATTATTAAATTGTAATATTTGCGCGTAAGTAACTATAACGAACCCGACTGGGATTGGAACTCGGCTCCCTGATTAACAGTTCCGAGCCTTTATCCATTACACCACCGGAACATCCAACCTTACAACATCTGGTACTTTCAAGCGGTCACCAATCTAGGTACTGAACAGGCTTGACGTTACTTAACTTCGGTGATTGTACTGGAGCCGGTGTTTCAACGTGCTGTGGCCGTAAGTCACCCACTTTGAGAAGAGACGGATTCATGACTTTCTTAATGGCTTTTGTGAGAAAGTGAATGCAATAGACTTGGCAAGGTCTTACTGCACCGATAACCGCTATGCTATCAGCACACCTATATATTAGGTTTATGAAGATCTTCAATAGTTGACCCCCCCATTCCAAATACATGAATTAAAAAAGGAAGTAGATAAATTCTCTGTTAAGCCAGGAAGGATGTCTTACTTGGAAATTCATTATATAACCTCCTCCGCCGTATGTATTGTAGACGCCGACGATTGGTATTCCACTAATCTGACTAGCTCGCGTGTAACTCCAGGCAACCAATGTCTCGTTGTATGCTAGTTCATATCCACATTTGGGGCCTTCTTTCCATTGTAAACAGTAGGAAGCTGTCTCCTCCCTACTGAAGCTGTAAGGTGGATAGCAATCAAGTATTCCTACCAAATGGTAAGTACTGCAGTTCTCTGTGTTCAAAAAAAAGAAGAAACATTTATGTAAATCTAAGAAAAAACATTCAAATGTATTACAAATTAATCAAATGTATCACGATTCACAATCTATAATGAATAAAAAAAAGGGCTTGGAAAATCTGATACTCACGGGACAGATTAAAGGCAAGAGGGACAACGGAAAACAACGCATGACGTACTTGGTACAATGGATGGCGAGACAGGGTTCAGGTGTCTGTCTATATTTCTGAGATGATGTATTATGTACACTATTTACATTATTCGGACTATTGTCCTCATCTTTGTCGTCATATTTATTACAACGTTTCGGCTGTTGTACACTCCGGCCTTCTTCAGGTGGTTGGAATGTCGAACTTAACCCTTTACAGATGTCCTCAAGGACACATGGCACAGTGGATAAAGGCGTTGATTAGATTCAGTGACAGGACCCAAAGAGTGTGAGTTCAATACCCGGTTAAGGCAGTGGAGAACTTTCAGAGGGAAAATTAACTGGAGATAACTGATAACTGACATCCATCAAAAGATGGCACGTGGAACTAGAACAGTCTACCCCAGTGAGCGAAATAAAGGGTTAAGTTCGACATTCCAACCACCTGAAGAAGCCCGGAACGTACAACGGCCGAAACGTTGTAATATGTGCCGACAAAGATGAGGACAATAGTCTGAATAATGTAAATAGTATAGGGTTCAAGTGAGATAACAAAGAGATAAAATTTATGAAAACCTACAAAGGACAGGAAATTGTGGAGAGCTATTATCACCTATGTCGGTACATAAAAAAAAAAAGAAAAATCACAGTTTCTCCTTTTTGTAATACACCCGGACAAACTATCAGAAATCATCAAGTGTGAGGTAACATAAAATGAATATCGACTCATATAAGTCATAAAACTCAAAAGTACATTCGTTCACCATCAGCTTATTTAAAAGTGGATGAAATCACGACGATGAAGTTGCTACCAAAACTAATATATAAGTACATACAATTTTCACGCCCGAATCTATCTTAGATATTTATAAGTCTAGCATTCGTCCATGCTTTAAATATTGCTGATATATATATGGCCTGATTCCTGCTATATATTTATAAGTCATTGATAAAAGCCAAAGAAGTATCTAAAATGTCATTCGTTCTGACTTAGCATCTCGGCTTCACTCACTTTCCTACCGCCATAATATAGCTTCCCTGTACCTTTTCCATAAATACTTTTACGGTAATTGTTCTAATGAACTTCCCTCTTTGGTACTTAGACTTTATGAATTTAAACGCAGTACTAGATTGGACGTTAGGTCTCATCATTTTACTATTGAAATGGCTAGAAATAACCGTGAGTTTTCTGCTGACAGTTTCTTCTATCGCACTTCTCGCTTGTGGAACTCTCTTTCGGCTTGTTGCTTTCCAGTCAAATTTGAACTTCAAAAATGCAATGCCAATCGTTATCTTCTGTCTCCTGAATTCCTGTTTTTTTTCTTGTTTTTTTACAGTTGTTCTCGCTTTTTAATAATGTTTTCTTTTCTCTTACGTTTTTTTTACACTCTGCGTCTTACTGGCTTTATTATCTTGCTTGTGGGGAAATGATCATACACACACACACACACACACACACATATATATATATATATATTAAAAAGAATAGAAGCGGCAAACGATTTGTGTTATAATATGGAAATTTTAAAAAGTCCACATTATAACCAAAAAACGTTTGCAGGTTCTCTAGTCTTTAAGATATAAACTTTTCTCTCGTTGGAAAACTATAACTTCTCCCTTATATATATATATATATATATATATATATATATATATATATATATATATATATATATATATTATTATTATTATTATTATTATGTTATTATTATTAAAATACACCTTCAAGTGCCGAATCTAGATGCGTCGTCAGTGTTGTTGCTCCGATGTCACTATAAGCTTCGGGTCTAAATAAACAACAGAATCAATACTCCCAAGGGGTCCCGAGAGAGGGAGAGGATGAGACCCCTAACAGGACGGCTCGCCCGGAAACGACTTACGATACGAATATTCGGACCATGAGTTTGACATGCCCATGCGGAAGAAGCTGCAAAAATATACGCGGTTTGCGAATTCACCAGGCCAGAATGAAATGTCAGAGGGAGATAACATCAACGCAACGCACAGGAACTTCTCCTGGTCAGACGGAGGAGGAGCAGGGACAGGAAGCTCACCACAGTGCCCAGTCTCTCCATGCTAGTAATCATATCTCCCTCATAACAAGAAGCTCGGCGTTTTCACAAGAAAATAAAATGGCCAGCAGCCGAAGAAAAACAAACCTGGCAAGAATTCGATACGGACATCTGAGACGTTCTTAACACCGTAAGTAAAGGATCAGTAGACCGACGACTCCAGACAATGTCAAAAATTATTTTCACTTACGGTGCAGAGTGTTTTGGGTACACAAAAGAAAGAAAGAGCGCTATTAGGAAAGAAAATCGTTCTTCCTTAACCCAACTTACCTGAGCGCTATGGACTTTCCCTATTTGTATCCTGCTAGTATCGAATACAAGTCGACTGAGACAATTATAAAAATCAGGGTCGCATAGCGTGGTACAGAAGGAAGCTGCGTCGGAGCCTGATCAGCTCTGACGGGGTCGACTCAGCGAGGATGGTATGATGTTGTAAGGCCCGAAACTACCCAATGACCTGAGTAATTACATCACTGACGACACCCTCCAGCGCAATAAAAGTGCGTATTTCCGAAGTATTATTAAAATACACCTTTAATTGCCGAATCTAGATCCGTCGTCAGTGTTGTTGCTCCTCTGTCACTAGAAGTTTCGGGTCTAAATAAACAACAGACTTCTTCGATGGGCGACCCGACTGAATATGATCAGTATTCGGCCCGCACCTAGAACAAAATCTGCCACTAGCTTTAGGACGTGAATTATATAAGTTGCCCCAGCAAACAACAACCAATCAAGACTTCACTTGGGCTATTCGAAGTTATAAATTAGGTATGCATGGTTGTAGTGATCTTCCTATATGCGGCCAAGATAGGGTGTTTTTTGGAAGAATAGAAGAACACAAGAACACAAACCAATAAATACACACACACACATATATATATATATAGACACACACACACACACACACATATATATACAAACGATTTATTATATTGGCTCATCTTGCGACTTGTTCTTTCTCTACCTCCCCTTTTAACAAACTTATTTGTTTGGTCTTTTCTTTTGACTTTTTTATTCTTATTTTCTTTTCTTTTCTTTTCTAAACTCCACTTAAAACGTTTACAATAGAGTGATTAAATTGACAGACTATTTACAACTTTAAAAACTAAGAGAAAAAACATTTAACTAAAATCGCTTAAAAATAAATCAATCTATTTACATGTTAAATACTAGTTTAAAAAAAAACAAAAAAAAAAAACACGTGTAAATTTTAAATAAGTTAAACCCCCCAAAAAAAAAAAAAAAAAAAAACTTATCCGTACCGGAAGGAATTCGTTTAAAAACTAAGAGAAATAACTAAAATTCCTCAAAATAAATGATCGAGATATTTACATGTCGAATAATAGTTGAAAGAAAAAAATAGCGTGTAAATTTAGCTAAAATAAGTTACTCCTAAAAAAAAAATTATCCATGAAGGAAACCGAAAAAAAAAAAAAAAATTAAAATTCCGTTTAAAAAAAGGAAAGATTACTTGTAAGAATGTTTTGAAATAAAATAAATCTACTCGGAAGACCAGTAAGACGCAAAAAATGAAGTCATTGCATATGAGACTGAATGAATATATATATATATATATATATATATATATATATATATATATATATATATACTATTTACATTATTCGGACTATTGTTCCCATCTTTGTTGCCATATTTATCACAAAGTTTCGGCCGTTGCACGCTCCGACCTTCTTCGGACAAAGCGTTTTGAGGCGCAAAATCCATTTATCATCAAGGTTCTTCAAGTATTTTACTAACTTTATGTTTTGTGTCTATTTCTATTCTTTCAATAATAGTGAATTTTGTATGGATATTGAAATCGTGGTTTTTCTAGTGGAAATGTAGTTCTACAGGTAATAATCTTTCATGAGGAGACGACTTAATCGGATTCTGATAATTATTAATTCTATAGTGAAAGGGCCATTCGTATTTTCCCACATATTCTGGCACATTATGCCTTCTAATCAGTAGATTATGTTATGACTTCTACAGTTAGAGTTGTGGTAGATTTTGAAAGCAGTGTTAGTGGCTGAGCTAGTGAACATATATATATATATATATATATATATATATATATATATATATATATATATATATATATATATATATATATATATATATATGTTTTGAACAATAAAAATATTGAGAAATTAAAAATTAAAATTTTCAGACACACTGGGTTGTATATTAATATATTTTGTTTTATTATTTCAATTAGATTCCTTAGGGCTAGTTTCAAAAGCATGGCCATCATCAAGAAAAAAAAAAATCTGCTTCTTAGTAGCAGTAAACTACAGGAATGAA